TCGTTGAAAGTAAATTTGAAAAGGCGCTTCTGCCATATAAGAGTGAAGGGCAAGATCCGCTAACAGATTGCTTTTTCCGCCTATAGGATAGACACAGAGAGAACGAGGGAATAATTTTCATGCAAGAGCGACGAAGAGGAGGGAAGAAAGTGCGGGAAACGCAAACGGCCTCAGCCACGGAGGACCTTCCACCAGCAGGAGATAGAGAGAGTTTAAAGGAGATAGCCGGTAAAGATCCTGGAGTAGGACAGCCGCGTGAAACATGGCTCGAGCCACGCGGTGCTATCCGCGCGCACCATCTCGCGCTCGCGACAATCTTTTCGCACTTCGCGAGAGGGTCCATTCCTCAACTTATGGAAATGCGAGCGTTGCGCTGCACACGAGGGACACGCCGCGAACCGCCGCGATCTCAAAGAGATGGATCGACAATCGTTCCGTTTTAGTGTAATCGACGCGTGAACGGTTCGAATGCTTTAGTGACGTGGTAACCTTTACGGATTTCTTTATCGTACAAGTCGGGAGTGACGATGACAACCGTAGAGGCATCAGTGATAGAAACTTTGATTCCCGAGCACGCATCAGCACGGCAGGAGGTACGCACACACTCACGCGACCATGTCCATGAGCCTTACGGACACGGTCGCGTGAGTGTGTGTGTATCCTCTCCCGTGCTGATGCGTGCTGCTCGGGAATTAAAGTTTCTATCACTGCGAGGCATTAAGGAATTAAATACGTTGATGTATTTGCCGCAAAATGTTTCTGTTTTTCATATTGACATGCTTGAGAGATATTTTCTACTTTCACGTAGATTAGAAGATGCGAGTTGAATGCGCAAATAAACACTAGTTATAATCGAGAGATAAAGTGCTGGAAAATTTTAGTGTATGAGACCGTGAAATATTAGTAAGGATTAATGAGCATTATACTCGAATAGGGTATTATTATTTAATTAGCGTAAATCCCATTCAAAGACTTACTAGTTTATCCGCTTATTTCTTTTTAATCGCTTTATGCTGAAGGTAGATTATTTGGACGCGGATATTGAAATCCAAAAATATAAGAATACAAAGGATGCCGTGGAATAATTAAAAGTGAATTACATGTTTTGCTCGTTCGTATTTCGATCTTTGCATCGAGCATACTTAATGAAAGACATTTGTCCGGTATAGATATTTTACTCTCGCGTCTTGCATATCAGCGCGATGATTATAATGATCCGATGCGCGACTCGTCATTCCCGCTTTTTAACGCACGGTGTTCATTGAGCCACCTGTGTTACATCTGCGTTTACGAACTATCGAGATCTATGCTTTGCGAGACGCTGACTCGAGTATTAAAGTGTTATTAGCCGCGCAACAGTTTGGAGAGTCTCGTCAAGAACTGCCAACGTCTGTTTATGGGTTAGGGAACAGCTCGTGAACCCAGCTTAACCCTTTCAAGACTCTCGGGATAATGTGTCCTAAGGAATGTTTGCCGTTCTACTGGGATCATCCGTTCCAAATACGATATTTCACATGTATTTCCTTCTTTAGAAGGCTTTAACTACCGGACATCGCGCAAAAGTCGAAATATACAACACCCTGTCACCAAAAAACCACAGTAGCAGAATAACACAAAGAGAGAAGTATATTTTTTTTACTATAAAAAAAAGAGAACCAGCTAAACTACCGACACAAAAAGTTTATAGAGTGTTACAGTTTTTAGTTGTACGTTTTGAAAGCATGATGTGTCACATTAATGAAAAAATTTATACTTTTCCATGAACTTAAATAGTGAGACAAGGGTCGAAGGTATCGGTCGAAATTAAGATTTACGAACACCCACGACACAAAAACATCTTCTAAGAAAAAGGAAAGTTTGCCGTGGTGGGCATGCCGCATAGAGTTTCGTTCGAACTTCTCTTATTTTCGACTCGGCCGCACAACACGACAATGCTCTTAAATTCACCACCTTGGACTGCGAACAACGCCGTTATGGGCGGAAAAAGACGGCAAAAAACGTCTCACGGACGTGCCCGTGGAAATTAGGCCGGTCATTGTCAGGTTTCATTGAAAATACGGACAGCATTCGCGGATCGCCTCGGTACGTCTCGGCAGGTCGAGAAGTTGCACAGTCTCATTGGCAAAAAGCCTTCGGAATGTCATTGTGTGACGACGACTATTAAAGTTGAACAATCGTGTGCTACATATTTAGTCTGTTTCGACTTTTCTGCCTGACTTTATTCAAAAAGATTTTAAGGGCATGCCGAAATAAATTTTCGAACTCGAGAAATAACGTAGAGGGGATTGTTATTAATACGACCATACCATCTTTTTCTTGTACACATAAATCTTATATATAAATGTGTGCTGCTTTGTTTTCTGCATGTGCTAGTGGAAAACACAACTACGCACATATAGAAATCTTTCTGCAAACTTTTCGTATACTTCTGAGCTTCTACATTTAGTTGCAAAGATACAAAAATGTTGTTTGAAATTTTCGTTAACGGAGCAAACACACGCGCGGTACTACACAAACTCGCCCTCTCTCTCTCTCTCTCTCTCTGCAAAACTTTTGTATCAAGTAAATATTTACGACAACTGATAGCTCGAGATATCAATTTAAAAATTTTTCATCGTTTCGTCACGTATTGAGCAATGCTCCAATTCATTGCACGTACTTTCAGTGCGTAAAAGCGTTTGTAATTCTGCGCAAGCAATGCGCAACATAAACTTCGTAGAAAAAAGTCAATATTTTGCTGGTAATGTTTTTTCAAGTATGGCCTCTTAATGTGTGCGTAAAAATTTAAATACGACATCGTTCCAACAAATGGAAATTTGACATTAGTTATCGTGCGCATCATTACCGCTACGTAATGACAGACTTCGTTTTGATAAAGATAAATGGAAAGAAACAAGACTTCCGTTGTCCATTTGGGCTTTCAAATAGTACTTAATTCAAACGGAATAAATTTCAGCTGTTTAAATAATTCAAGAATTATAGCCTTTGCGGGAATTATCGTTATGGGAAAGTCATCGGTTGCATATTCGTCAACGAACATGTCACGAACAGGCGCGCGTTAGTGATATCTTGCATATGAGATATTTAGCGTGCGCCACATGGCATTAAATTGGAGCGATTCAGCGCGAAACTTTAAACGGGATGCGAACTTGGTTTCGCGATTTTATCTATGAGCGTACGTGGCGTTTTGTGACACATACGTGACGGTGTGTTTCGCGTGATCGAGAGCCTCTGTGTTTTACGGTCGCGCGATTTTATTTTTTTTCCCCGAGGCGGGGGATCACTTTCGCATTTAACTGCATTGTGCGAGCTCGCGGCGACGGACTGCGCGTGACAGCGCCGCGGCATAAACATCGATCTGCGAATATTACCGTGAAGCATTACTCGTGAAATGACTCTCGCGATGCTTGGGACTATTCGACTAGGTGAGCCAGAAAGTTCGATCGTTCGCGTATCAAATCGAGCTGAGCGACGGTGAACTGTTAACTCTCGCGTTCTCCATGCCGACTGCACACAATGATTGTTTCTCTCTTTCTCTTTCCGCAAGGAATAAAAATAAATCAAACGTAAATGAGTTTCTTCTATGAAGAACGGTAAAACGAGTATTTCCAACTCTGGAAATGTTCGTTAGAAAAGAAAGAACATATGGATACGTTTACAAAATTCACAAAATGAGAAATTTTCATATTTTGAAATTTCCCAAATTTACGTCTCATCTAACCTGTTTGTCACGTTCTAAAACGAGAAACGTTTAAATGTTTAAACCATGTTTTACTATCGGTGAATATTTATAAATGTAACTCGGAAAAGTAATATGCAATTATTAAAATATAATGCCATAATAATCTTACGACAAACGTGTTCTTAGAGAATTTGTAACATCTAAAAAAAATGCTCTTTGCTGTACTTTGATGAAATAAAATCAAAGTATAGTAAACAGCAAAAAAATTATATTGTTTTTTATATAATTATATTATATAAAATTTTTTATATAATTATATGTATTTTTTATATAATTAAAAATGTAACATGAAACATATAACATACATGTCTTTAAATTTCAAGTATATCGTGTTCATGTCATATAAGCACGTAAATACACGCAAAGATTCAGAAATTTTTGAAGAATTTCCAACGATATGTGTAATGTAACAAGAGACCTATCAAAGGAATGATTAGATAATACTAAGATAAGATACGTCGGATTCGACAGGTAAACATTCTTTTTCTATATTCGTATTCTTGTAATGGTGGCATATCGCCGAAAAACCTAAAATTCTTGTCCCCCGGATGTTATCTGGTGGTCCTATGTTTCCTGAGCACGTATTGGGTCAGTGATCTATTCCATAAAACTTTATAGACTGACAATGGAACAAATATATCAAGCAATGCTAACAATTCCTGTCGACTGAAACTTCGTCTGTCAAGTTGATGTCGACAAATTCAGAAATGTGTCAACCCGCAGAAATAAACGAGGTAAACAATTTCTTTCGTAAGAATGGTCGTTATAATGTCGATCAATCCATCACATTTTCTTCATATCAATATGATATTTTTACGCAACAAAAAACATGATGACTTCTCGCAAAAACCACCGATTCCATCGCGATAACTGTCGCGAAAGTCCGAGAGAGAAGGAGAATGTCACAGAAAGAGAACCCATTGATCGCGCAAATTGTTGTCAAAAAAAGAATACGAAAGCACAACTCGAATGACCATCTCCGCGCATACGACATTCCCCCCTCGACATTCGCATCACGCGCGAATTTATGTCAATTTTGCTTTAATAAATTTTACCACGTCATCCTGCGTTACGTTAAAGGTCGCTCAAGAGGTACACGCGCGTATTTAAATTCTCCTTCCCACGCCGTCAATTATTAACGTCTGAAGGACGTTACGAACACTCGTGAAGGCTCTCCCAAACGAATATCCGCTTCATAAACTTTTCCGTGTTTTTAGCTTCGGCTCCTCGACCGTCAAATTTTATAGAGAAAACTTACCACTCAGAAATATCGACGGTGAGATATCTCGGGATCCGCACCGATTTTGACGAGCGACGTCTCAGCCCTCGGGAAACGATGATCTTCTCTCTCTCTCTCCCTTCCTCGCGCGCGCGCGCGCTATACACCCCCGTCGTTAAGAACTTCCCTCCTATCCTCCGCCGCCCTCGCGATCACACACTTCCGTCACTGTCACTCACTCACTTTACGAGCTCCTCGATTACGTCCTCCTATAACCGGAGCCGATAACTCGGCTCGGCGGCGGTCGAAGTCGATGATAGACAGCCCCACTCGCGCCTCTCGATCTGTTTATCCGCGCGTCATTCGCGCGCGACCCCGTGGACGTCCGTTGTCGCAAAGTTGCTCCGAAAGTTGCGCTCCGTTTTTTGATCTGGACCCTCTCGGCGTGAGAACGGTACCCGTACTATTCACTGGTCGCGATCAGTAGAGGTCTCATCGAGCTCACCGGGAAACAGTGCGAGCTTGCTCTTCCCACGAGTGACGGAGAAGATGCGTCTGTCGGAGCAGAGAATCGAAGCAACGAACGATTTCAGATGTGTGGCACGACTAACTATTCGAATCGCGTAAACTCTGATAATCACTATTTCGCCTCGCGTTTTCCGGTTACATTAGACGATCAAAGCTTCAACTGCTTCTCTCTATCTATCTATCTATCTATCTCTCTTTCTCTTACTCTGACTCAGCGAGAAACGCGCACTCCGAAACACCGCGCAGGCCAACCGCGCGTCACGGCACCAGCCTGTGAACTGAAGCGCCGACGCGACCTGAAGCCGGGACTCGACTGGTTCTTCCGGCCTAGAGAGTCCCCACCGCTCTCCCTCTCTCTCGAGAACACCCGCACTCGCTGTCGCGCGCGCGACCCTAGGTGCGCACCATCCCCCGTCCGAGGGGGAATCCCTTCTCCGCCTTCACCCCCTCGTTCCTGCCCTTACCCCCTCGCTCTGTTTCCCTTGCTCTACCTCTTCAGGAGCTCGCCCCTCTTCCCACTTTCGCTCCCTCCCATTCTGCCTATCTCTTTCTCTCTCCCTCCCGACTCTCGTCGTCCTTTCTCTTTCTCGCCCCGTTCGACCAGTTCGCCGTCCTTGTTCTGCTCGCATTCCAACGGTGGTCGGTTTCTCTCCCTACGACTGCCTGCCTGCCTGTCCTTCCCGCGCGCGCTATGCCATGTTCCGACTGCCTAACACCGACCCTTCACGTACGAACGACCGAACGACCACCCCGTTCTCTCTCCTTCAACGGTGCACACGATCAACCTCTTCTCTCTTTCCCTCTCCCCCCCCCCCCC